AATATATAATTTCTCTCTCTCTCTATATATATATATATATATATATATATATATATATATATATACACACACACACGTTATTTACCTGAAAGTTTTAAACTCTCATGCTATATGTGTACATATGCATATATATTACAGTAAATTTCGTGTATGTTACTGAAGAGCAGACTTACGGTAACAGAGGTGGAAGCCATTTGGTATAGTTTCTTATAAACTTGTGGACCTGACAGATCTTCGAACGATATCTATCCACTTGTTACAGGAAGCGTGTGTATTGAGTGTAAAATAACAGCATGGCGTCTGTAGGAAGGTGTTTTACTTCCCGTTTTATGACAATTTCTAAGTAGCTGGACGTTCGGCACTTTATATGGCGATATAACCCAAACAGAACAAATTTTGTATGAACCATTTTTTTCTTCCTAGAAATTACATGCATGAGTTTATTTCTGTCTGTCATCTCTGAGAAGTAGTAAGAATGTGGTAAACGGAAGGGGCTCGTTCAAGTTGTCTTCCTACGAGACTGACACCTCATGCATCACAATTGCAACACGTGCAGGTCCTCCGTTCTCTGCCACTGGCTTCAAATAACGCAAGTACCTCAAAACCAGAGTTTGTAGATTGTATGTGCGAAATTACTTTTATCTTGGTCTTTTTTAAAAATTATGATAACAGTTTACTAACGCAAGACAACCTTTTAAAATCTTTATTTTTATGAGAAAAATTTAATTAAGCTGTGGAGGTCGAGAGAGAAAGCATCCATTAACAGCAAAGAATGTTGATTTAATTCTCGCCTCTTGAACATCCTTGTCATTGTGCAAGTAACAGCACCTGACTGCATCCATGTTTTAATCTCAGAATGGGAAGGATGATGCACAAAATTAGAACGCTTCAAGTTGTATAGGCCAAGTTAACTTAGCAAATTAGTTGACTTCCTATTTTATTACTGAATATTAAATGGTCTGTTTCATTTAGGTAGCAACTATTTTATATAGAGTGATGCAGTATTGAAAAAATATGCACGGGCTGCTGGTTCAGAGCCCTTGGCCTGGATACAATTAAAGAAAAGTACGCTTCCGAGGTTTTTCCCGGAGTTTTAGGTTAAAACAGAATCTTAATCGTCACAGTGACAGTTTGGTATCAGATGATCAGAGAATGATTTGTGTTTTTAAATTGTACATCAAGTCATGGGCATTTATGCTAAAGGAAATGCAAACATTGTGTTTCCGGGAATGATTGCCGCGTGTTGTGCAAGAACGTACCGCTAAACCAGCTGTGAACACGATGCCTCTCATGTCCTGTCGTCGGGAGTATTTAAACTGTGTCAGGTTATAATTCAGACCCACACCGCGATCCCAGTGCCCTGCCACTGTACAATTTATAGGCCAACTGTAGTTGATCTTGTAGAGATCATACAACATAATATTGTCATCGGCCTCGGCATGTGCCCATGTCACCTCAGTATCAATACTCAAGTTAAGTGTTTCAATCTCCGATGGGTATTTCTTCTTACTCCATATAAACCAGTAATAACTGCCGTTGAGAGATCGTCGTGCAGAATTCTGTGAAAGGAAGGGATGATAATTAAAAATATGGTTTGCAATCGCCTTACACATCGCCACATTAATGACTAGGCTTCAGGATGTAAGATTCTGCAGTTTCAGAATAGTTTATCCAGTGTAAAATGTGATCCAACTAATTATCTGTCTGACTAATTAACTTCATGAACCAGAGACCTTCTTGAGAAACTCTTTGACGCTCAGCTGATCAAGAAATTCCGTGCTGTTTATGCTTCGTTGCCGTTTCTAAAAGAGTCTGACATTCGACCCTAAAATCAGCCAAATGAATTCAGTTCACACGTTTACATCCTGTTACTTAAAAATAATATTCCTGTTATCCTCACAGGTACGTCTAGGTCTGTTTCAGGAATACCTTTTATAAATTTGTAGTATTTTACGTGTATTCAGTGTGCTTAGTTCTAAGCCGTCTTTGCGTTCACTTTGACAACGATTTAAACGTACTGTGACTAGAGCAAAGGGAGATTTCTGCTTTGAAGGTCACTGTTGCATATGAACTTACGTGAAGAATGCATTCCTGGCCTTCAGGACAATCGTAGTCTAGAAATATTCCGAACTTGTTGTAAGATCTCTTTATAATATATTCAGTGGATTTAGAAGGAGATTGTTCTGGATCTGCAGAAATCATCCAGAACTTCCCTGTCGTCATCAGGGATTTCGCCAGAAGAAATGAATCTGTTGAACATTAGAATAAACATATATAGAACGTTTGATAGTCCGACAGAAAGTTGAGGGATGCATCTGGCGAGGTTAAGTGTGTCTGGAGCTTGACGCACGATTTTTTTATAAAATCTTACAGGCTGGTCGTATATTGGTAGCGTATGTTTATTTTTGAAAATGTGAGATTTGAGGTTCTCACTACAGTGAATATGTCGATGGTGATCTTGTTTGTGGCACCGTAAGGATTCGCAGGTAGATACCAACGTTTCGAAATTTTGCTATCTACCTACGGCGTCACAAACCAGAACATCGATATACGAACATGTAGGATGTATTAATTGGCCTTCAGTTTGTACGAAGTAGTTGTTTAGTACACTGCAGTCTAACTTATTACCTATATGGGAATTTTAGTGTAATCACCCCAGTGGTCCTGTGGTTTGCATGTTGGTCTAACGCGCCTTTTCAAAATGTCGGGCCAGAACGAAGGCAATCTGTCATCGTAATGACAACAGATCATGCGAAGACAAGGCTACGGGAAACTTCAGAAACGTCTTGCATAAGAAATATAAAACTACTTGAGACGGTGAACGTTCAATATAATACTGGTATAAATGTAATAACGCCGGCCCCGATTATTTGTGGCACACACACTCACTGTTTAAGATTCATTTCAATATTATCATTTCCTTTACTTCTTTGTTTTCAGAACGGTCACTTTTCTTTTAGTTTTCCAACTAGAATTTTGAGAAGGCTACATGTTTATTTCCACATAGATGCTACATGCTCCACCTATCTCAGCGTTAATTTAGTTGCGTTAATAAGATGTGATGAAGAATGGCATACAAACTGTAACTGCTCATCTAATTTTCTATTTTCTTTAGTTACTTCCTCTAATAATTTCTTCAGCACTTTTTCTCATTGCATGTTTTTGTATGATAAGTGGCGAAGTTGTAGACGCATGTAAACTAAGGCAAAATTATAGTTTTGTATATTTTAGCATTTGGTTTTTTACATAGACGAAAGAAGGAAGATACTGAACTTAGCAATATCAAGCATGTCCCGAATTTAATTTGCTCTTAATATGAGCCTGTTCTTTTATATTATTTTTATTTGAGACTTTTTTTTCCCACGGCGATGAAGATGCCGATTTTGGTCATCATAATCATCAGCATGATTTTGATTTGTTACTGTCCTAATTGAATATTTTCTAAGGTGTGTTCTTTAAGTTATAATTTTATTTGTATTTAGATGAAACATGAACGTGAAGTTTTTGTTAATATTTTGGTTTGTTTATTAATGTGCCTGACAATCGTGAGAAAGCTGAGCACATGTAAGGCACTGAGAAGACAAAATATGAAGTTATATAGATAAGATACTGCAATACTATAAAAGCTGCTGGTAATAGTATACAGATGTACAAAAGAAGACCTACAGAATCTGGACAGAGTGAAAGATACTCACTAAGTAACACGTTACTAAAAGTAGGATTTGAGGTTCTCACGGCTGTGAGTTCGAAGATGGCTGCCTTCTGTGTTGTAGCGCCGTGAAGTTTGGTAGAAGTTTACAGACGTTTCAGTGGTGTTTGCTGTTTCCATTATCGCCCTGAAGACAGCCATCTTAATCTAAGTTCTTAAAAGACTACAAAAATTCAGCTGACGATGCGCAGTCCGTGATAAAAATTTCAGATTATAATAGCAACAAAAACAAGTAGTTGACGGGCTGGCCTTGAAGGTGTAGTGTGCAGTGAAAGCAGAGTACTATCTAATTAATCGTTTAAGTATCCATAGACTGATAATAAACCAGAATGGTTAATAATGTTAATTCCCGAGGCATTGACAGTACTTTTGCATGAAGAGCTTGGAGTACAATTGCTTGTGGCCTGACTATGTTTACGACTAGGCCTACCTTATTATTTAAGAAATTGCGCATAGTTTACTGGTAGCTTAATTGCTGACTAAAGTACAAAAATTTATGAATACAGTACCATGTTTGTAGCACGTGTAAGTTGCTATTACGCGAACATTTTGATAGGTGTAGTAATCGTTAACGAGTCGAATGGTATTTCTGTCGAGAGTTGCTAGAACGTTGAACGGAAAGAACGATGCAATGATGAGTAGTGTGTAAATCTTCATCTCTTTGTGAAAATCGAGTCCGACACCTCTTACAGCAGTTAACAAGCCTCTTTTGTAGGCCTGAGGAGACTACTCACAACGTTAAGTATTTTCGTATAATTGATCTCACGACCAGATTCCGATACTGTTCTGTCTACATGTTCAGTGTCGCTAATAATTCTATATTATACAGTTGTAGGTTCTACTATAAAAGATGAACACACAGATTTCACAGTTTCACCATAAATTCTAGCCGATTTTTGATTCCCTTTGAATGTGGATTTCTTTGATGATCAATTTATAGAAGGCACGTTTCAAATGTTGACGTTGTACCGGTCTGCAATAAAAAGAGTTGTTACAGTGGCGGGGTGCTTCGGAAATTTTAATGCATTTTTCTGAGATTAACTTATATTTTTTTCCACTATATATATAGGACGAAGGTAAAATATTAAAATGATAGTTTACCTCGAACATTATGTTGACAACAGTAAAGAAAGGTGGCTGATATAGACTGTATGAATTTTCACTCATTTACACTTATACTCATGTCATAAAATAGCGCGACTTAGGGCCACGCTACACGTGCAAAACTGTATTTACTGTGCTGTGTTGTCAATTATATACTTTATCTCGTAAGCGCTTACCTTAAATTGATTTCTGTTTTTCCTGCTATGATATTCTTGTGCTGTGAATCTTATAACCATTTATTGATTTTTTGTTGCATTTTTTATAATTGCTACAATCTATTGTTTACGTTACTTTTTGTTCAAGTGCTGTTTGACATCCCATGCAGTTACAATGTCAATGAAGCAGAGCAGACTGGGAAGTCTGCTGTGAGGAGTCAGAACTATGTACGGTTTCTGTAGCCTTTTCAGACATGTTTCTGAGCGATCTGAGCACGCTGCAAATTTACATTTGTAAGACGCAAGAAATAACAGCAAAAGTATGTGGTGTGCGTCGTAAGACAATGCAAAGTGTGTGCAGTGAAGCTTTTGATTCTCCGTTAACCGGATGTTTGGTTCTGTCAGGAGATAATAGACACACAAAAGGAAAATTACTTTACAAACATGACAACTTTAAGATGTTCTGCGTCGTACAGTACATGAATGTTATGACAGGGGTGAACATCCTACAGCATATAAACGTAGAAGTGTCTTGGAGAAGAAAGGAGTTTTCTGGGCCATACCGACTCTGTATTAACAATATTAAGGAAAATTGGTTTCATGTATAAGAATTTTAACAGTAGAAGGGACATTTTAATAGACGGAAGAGGTGTTGAGGTATTAAATGTGTAAGTTCTTATAACAGTTTATCAGGTGCCACTAGGACCATTTTCTGCTTGAAAGAAACTGGGAGAATCAGGATCAGTCCCTAAAATATGTACATATATTTTTACAAGTTCCTTAAGTGACTGTTAATTGTCTGGGATAAGGTTCAACAATCTTGATGGATAATGTCAACTGTCACTCGATTGTGTCGAAGGAACTGCTTTCGGAGAACTCAGAAAGTCTGAAATTGAGTAGCTGAAATAGAACAATTTTGAGTAGATTCAACCGAGACCCGAGAAGAATTGCTTTAGCTTATTCACTTCAAGAGGTCGAACAAAATACGGAATGATTCACAATTCCCTGTGCACCCATAAGAACATATAAATCACGTACGCGACGTGGGACGTATATATGCACAGGGGCTTCTGAATCACGTCCCATTTCCAATGTTTGTTCCTACAGGTGTATAAGGACTTCGACGCAACCTATACATGAACTTCGCCAAATCGATAATGAATTGGGTCATCAAGATAAACGTTTAGTACCATACATTTGCCAGTTAATCCTATAACATTAATTTGGGCTCAAGTAAAGAGAATTTGTTTAATGAAACAGCATTTTGAAGTTGGCAGATGTCTGGCGACTCACGAGTGAAGCTGTTGGTAGCGTACCAGCTTAATACGGTACAGCATATGTAAGACATACGAAGTGGGTGCAAGAAGGGTATTTTGTAAAGTAAAATGGCAAAATAAGTATTATTGACCCTGTAATTATTTTGTTAGGGGGGCTGTGAAGGCAGCAAGTTACCGGGTAGAACGGACAGGCTTTTGTGTTCATAGTACTGAACACTGGAGTTCCATCAAACGCAGGGAATTTTCACCAGCTGAGCAACTGCAAACTTCTCAGGAAGGATTTGTTCCATGGAGTCATTTGTTTGCTAATTTCTCATTTCCTTCGTGCGTCTTAATCCACTCACTTGCAATCCTTATTTTAAAAGGCATTCACTAATTATAACCATACAAGTCGGTAATTTTACAATTATGCGTTGTATGAGATGGTTTTAAATAAATGTTCTTATCACAATAAGTGATTCCTATGATATCTACTGTTAACCAAAATGTGTTGTTTGTACCAGTGATATGTTCAGTGCCAAGTTTGAAGTTATTTTTCTCCGGATGTCATTGCTAGTGTTCTACATTCCATCCCAGGCGGTGCGATGAATTTCATTCTGGCGTATTGCAGGAGCGCCTGAACCTGAGAACAAGTACAGGCAGTGTCAGCAAATATTGTGGGCAGTGTCCGGGAATGTCAGTAGAGGTATGACTAAACCTGGAAAGATTGGCTATCACTGCAAAACCGCTTTTAGGGCTTATAGCAGAGAAATCCTTACCCGGCGAACAGAGGCCAAAATAATTTATAACTAAACCTGAAGCCACTAGGAAGAAAGCAGTATATTTTGTTTTACTGCAATATGTCCAGTAGGGGCTTTCACGTTCAGGGTTCAAGAAAGGATTCGTTTATCTTGAGAGTTACGGAATGCCAGTCTCACAAACCTGGAGGCCTAGAGTTTGATTGTGGCAACGTTCCGGTTACCCATTGTGGTGAATACAGATTCTTCCAAGTGCGTACTACATACCCCGCCAATCTCGTCCTTCGTAAGTTTGTTAAGTCTGTGATCCTGAAGTAGTTTCTTCGTTATTAATTATAAATCCGCGCATTAGCCTCTCTGTAGAGAATGAAGTATTTGAAGGATTCCTCTGCACGGTAGGTTTTAATGTTCTTATTACTTCTGTGTTAGTCTGAACGAAGTGTTTTAACAGCCACTCTGGCTTACCTGCTGCGTAAGATGATTTCTGTGGCGAAGATAATTACAGAGATAAGCGTGCCCGCTCCCAACAGCCATATTGCGAACACGATGGTGTCAGTACCTACGCTACGAAACTCGGTTTTCACGGAACATGCCGGCTTAGTTGGACGCCAATGTCTGTTCAAGTGGCTGATGAGTCCACTCTCAGCCGCCCGCCGGTACCTGAAAAGCCCATTGCTCTGTGAATGTTATTTTAAAGTGTCATAATAGGCCGACGGCCAAAATCTGGACCGGGTGAGATGAAATGCTCGTATGAAAACGTGAGATGTACCATTCCTCAAATCACTCCACAACGACGCACCACGACACACCGAGACTGGCCAGTGTGTGCTAAAATCAAACAAAAATACTTCGATGATTATTTTAACATTTTAACTTTTAACCGAATTAACAAAGTTGTAAACATTGTAATATATATAGCTATCATTATTTCTGGATATCGGGGAGGAGATCTTTAGTGCAGTGACATAGAAGCTGGGAATTGAAACTGATGATGACAACATTGGTTCTAAACATGTTATTCAAGTGAACAGAGTGCAAAACGTCGCGGGCAAAACAAAAATCAATATGTTCCCTGTTCCTTATCTTTCAGTGGTCTTCAGTAAGCTAAGACCAACAGCTGCTTTTAACAAACATAGCATGCAGGCACAATATAAGGTAATTAATTAACTTGTAAGCTTAAGAGATTTGAGGTTATCACTGCAGTGAATATGTTTGTTATTCTTCTGAGAATGGTGTGGTTCTGTTGGTAGACACCAACGATTTACGATAACTACTGGCTACGTCTTCAGGGTAGAAAATGAGGCAGTAAATGTTATTACGTTAGTCAAATTAAGGAGAATGAGATGGGCAGGACATGTAGATCGTATGGTGAAGTGAGAAATGGTTATAATATTTAAAGCAGGATTGCGTTAGGTTAGGAAAGTCTGAGGTGAAGAGAACCACGTGTAATGTTCAGTTCTGTCTGTGGGTGTGGAATGGATTCAGTTGGTTAGAGCAAGATCCAGTGGGAGGGTCGTGTGAACACGGTATCCCAATTAATATTTTAATTCCTTGAAAGGTGTGGAATTTGTTGACCGACTATCACCAGGACTCTTCTCCATTCATTTAGAAAATCGTTGAACAGTAGATTTGAGCTCACCCGTATGTAAGAAGTTCCTTCAAAGGCGATGTTCTAGGTACGAATGGATAGCATTGCCAAATCGGTAATACTTGAATCTCGGTAAGATCACACTTTGCCTGTTCAGTGAAGGTTTCTTCAATTACTTTGTATATGTTGATGGCTTCGGTGTGGAACACGAAACGTTCATTCAGCACTTTCTGGAGACCCATTTCACGTGAAAAGTATCCCGTGTGTGGGGGTGCCATCTTCGTTTGATACAGTTCTTGTACCAGCGGATCCGAGTTCATCTGAAAGCAGGTTGCATCAGTTTTGAAATCTGTTTTTTTTGTTTTTGTTTTTTTTTCGACCAAGTAAATGTTTCATATGTAATATTCTTGTTACCAACTACACGTAGCCTAATAATAAAGCCACTGTGTCGTAAAGAAGTAACAATATGGTTTTAAATAAAAAGCACTTGGACTATGTTCCACAGAAATTCAAGTCGCCCAACAACGTTTTTAAACATACGAGTATAAATAAAATGTTGAATGTTGTCGAAATATGCTCATTATTTTAGGAAATGAAGGAAGCGGACAGACAACCGAACAGATCCCACGTCCTGCACAGAATCATGAACATACGGGAGTAAATGTCTGTTACGTGTTAATGGTGGACGGCAACACATAGAATTACGATATTTGCTTCCTATCTCACAGAAAATTAACATCTTCTTTACAGAGGTCATTCGGTACGAGTCTTTAGGAAAACAACCTTTTTTTCTTTTATTCTGGAAAACAAACGAAACACGATCATTCTGTGGCTTAGTTCCGGGTGTATGAACGTCTGCATAGTTAGAAAAGTGCTTTCAAGAGTTACTTTATATGGTCCAAGTTTGAGGGTTCCTGGCAAAAGTGCGTTACGTTGTGTTAAATCTTTGGACATTGCCCATGTTCAACTAGGGAGTCACTTTACCTGATGACGGTAGTAGAAACAACTTCATAAACGTTGTTCTGTGGACTCCTAATTATCCGAGTTGGTTAGGAAATGAATTTCCCTGGATAATCGAAACCCCGGAAAGAAAACACGCAAATGTAACAAATACATAAGTTTATTAGTAGCAGAACCGATGATAACTACACTTACAGTATTGAGAAATTACTGTCACAGTGTTAATAAACAAACGTATGCCGGATTCCGATGGATGGTAGTAACGTTCTGTTATCGTAAACGTCAGGTTTTAGGAAAATTGTTTTATGTTGATACGCTAAATAATATCTTATCGAACACATTCTTTTCTTTTTTAAACGTTCTAACTTTTACAACAGATTTTCTTAATTAATTTTTATATTTTGTTTAAACCAAATAGACCCGTTTTATCCGCTCCAGGATAATTGGGATATACTATAATTGTATAACATTTAGACGATGTCTAAAGTCTAAGACAACAACATAATGGTTATGATATAAGTATTCTAGTAGGTACATACTTGAATTGTGATTATGTATTACAGTGAAGTGGTATTCACTTGGATGTTTTGTCATTTTAAACCTAGTTCTCCGATGACACACTGTGCCATTACGCCTACATTCTCCGAAACGGTTTCTACCTACGAGCTCACAACGCATAAGAACAACATCCGTGAGAACCTGAAATTTCGTATATCCAGAGTTGTGTTCGGTACAAAACTGAAAACATTGTAAGCCGTGATCTGTTCATTTTGTGATTGTGTTTAGTGCGGTATTATACAAATAGGTGATATGTTTGAAGCTATGTTGTTGAATTTTCAAATAATACTTTCATATTTTTAAGAGTTGAACATTTGTTGAAGTGTATTTATATTCGTAGCTAAAACCGCTGACGTTTATGACAGCACAATCAGAATTTAGTGTGTAAATCGGTGCCGTGCATACAGAATTGCAGTAATATGAGTGACTTGGTCGGGTTTCTCACGTGTGGAAATTTATCTTTTGCTATGTACTTTAAGTTCATCGGTTATAGTAGGTCATATCAGGGAGTTGTGCACCGGGTGTTTGCTTGAAAGGTAAGTAAGCAAAATTTAAGTAGTAAGAGCTGAAGGGATGGGGCCAATTGGAGGATAATGTTAAAATTAATTTTAATAGACTTAGTGTGAAGATTTGGTCTTGATTCAGAATAGGACTTAGTGGTGCGCTTTTGCGAATGCTGTAATGGAACTTGGATCCCATAAGAGGCTGGGAATTTGGCTAGCTGAGCAACCATCAGTTTCTTTAGGACTGTACTTTATGGAGTTACTTGGTAAATAGAACATAGTACGCACATGCAGAAACCAACTGTAGTTGCTGGCATGGAATATTCGAGACCGGCGCTCATAGTGCATACGTGATAGCGATAAGCTTTGAGCTTTAAAAGTATTGATCTCTTTAAAGTGTCAATGCCACTGCTGTCCTGCCCGATGGCAGACATAATTGCATGTCTCGCCCGTTTGCATTCAAGTCCACGTGAAATGAATCTGCTTGTTGCTGGATCTGGGTCAGGGTTGAGTCGAATTCTGCATTTCCGATTGGTTGGTCTTCATCGCTGTCACAACATTCTTCTGTTATCTGACAGTTAGATTTAATACACTGTTCGAAACCTTCAGCACGGCTAGGTGGACGATTGGGGTTCGATTCCTGATATGGTCAGAGATTCTTCTCTTCACATCACGTCCAGATCGGCTCTGGGGCCCACCCAATCTCCTCCCCAATGGATACCAGGGGCTTTTTCTCCCGGTGTAAAGCGGCCGGGGCGTGTAGCTGAGTAAACTACGTCATGTAGCGCCGAGGTTGATATTGCATGGGTCTTTGCGTCTGTTTCCTTGTACCTCTTCAATGTGCGGTGTTCAAGCACAATTGCAGTTTATGAGTAAGTGGAAATGTATTTCCTGCCGTAATGTCGTTATAGTTCTGAATATTTCTGTATCTTTATTATGACTGTATCATATGCATGTGTTTAGATAGAATTTTATTTGCATAAAGTACAGTGGTGAAAACTGTAAAATGCAGCTCATTCATGAAGCCGATTACGAAATGTTGTTTTTGTAGGTGTTTAAAAAGGAAGGAAACAAGCTACTCCATTCACGGTCCGGCTCCTATAAACCCATCTCCACCCACCCAATTGGCATATTCATCGCGCTGATGATGGAGGCAGTATGTCCTCTGAAACGTTGGTAAACATCGACCACACTAAACAGCGCAACAACCCAGAAGACGGAAATCTTCAATGATTAAGTTATTAAATATGTAGTTACTACCAGCTTAACAGCGGTTAAGTGGAAACACTTAAAAATCCAGGAAACTAGCATTGAACTTCAGAAATCAGTGCTGACAACTGTGTGAATTGTGCTACACTGGGCTCACTGTAACTAGAAGCATCAGAAACATTACAAAACCTAGCGCAAGTGATGGCGAAGTAGTACTGCACACGCGTTCTGTGAAAATGACCAAGCTTGTTTATTAATATATTTGGAAATATATACCTGACTCCATGGAATAGTCTTTTTTGAGAATTTAGTAGTCGCTTGGCTAGTCGAGAAGATCTTGCATTTTAAGGAATCTGAAGGTTCTTTAGGGCTATCGTCTTCACAAGACCTATTGTATTAATTTATAACCTTGCGGCACGCGGTCGATAAGAAAGGGTGAATAGTGCCCGGGTCTGGAAAAGGTTGAGAACGCCTGGTCTAGTGACATACATTTCGCCCTGTTTCTTTAAGATCGTCCCACTTATTCGTATGTCACCTAAGGGTGTGTTCCGTACAGGTTTTCTGACAAACATTTTGAATGTTTTTCATTATTTCACCCTTGTGTGTTGTATGCCCCGTCCATCTGATTTTATTTTATTTTATTGCCCTAATAATAATCATTGTTGAATAAACATGAAGCCCTTTATTCATATTTCTGCAGCCTGGTGTTGCGCCCTCTCATTTAGATCCAACTGTTTTCCTTAGCATATTTTCCAGAAAATCCCTAAATCTATGTTCTTCCCTTGCGTGATAGATGAAGTTGTGCATCCATTAAAAGCAAGAGAAAAAATCTCAGACATACGCGAATTCAAATATGTAACCAACAAGAACACAAAACTTTTATTGATTTTGCAATAAGTCAATATTATCAGATTAGTTTACCAAGTGAACGTATTAGAAGTGTACCTCGAAAAATGGTCGGTTGTAGTTGATGTCTTCTGCACCAAACGTTAACGAGCTGTCGATCAGATCCCTGGTGTTTCGAATGCTCTGTCTGGGTGCCGACAATAGCGAGGACACGACGAAAGCCGAGTAATACACATTCATCATGAGCGCAAGTATGTGGGTGTTGAGAAACACAATGCGACCCGTGATCCACTTGGAGTCCATCGTAGACCCTAAAACAATCAATAGGTCCCTACAACATCTCCACAGAGAAGACATGGCTGATTATTGCGGTATAACCACACGGACGGATTATTTTCATAAGCAATGGTAAATCCGCTACACTGCAGTTAGGTACGCGTCAGACACAATAGGGATTGTACATAAAACCGCGGCTGACCGATTCTATTAATACATGTAAATTTTACTGGAACAATGTGACAGTGATGAAAAATATGTTGTCGTATTGCGAGGATTTATTACCCTGCATATCACAGTGATCGATTCTTTCCCCTTCCAAGGAATCTTACCGAATGTAGAAAAGGTTTCATGAAACAGAAACGTCTACAAGAGGGGTTATAAACCTTTTCTAGACCTTAGGTCACATTCACCCTTTCTTACCGACAGCGAGCCGCGCGCTTATAAATTACGACGATCTGTTTAACCTTCATAGCATTTTATTTAAATGATACTTATTCCATAATTTTTTAACAGAAACAGTCATTAATGAAATATTATAATGATAATGATAATGGATGAATTTCGAAGGGGCATTATAATTACGTACCCTGCTGACCAACAGCTCCCATAATGATAACGAGGGTGTCGCTCCATGTCCAAGCTTCTTCCAGTTCTGTCTTGTTGCGTTCATGCAGGTTGTCCACTACATAGTACTGAGACTCGAAGAAGGAAATAAATCGGAGAGCTATCATCATCAGCAACCAGATGAGGCCACAGCCCAACCATAGCGTCGGCTCAAAGGGCTTTAAGAGAACGCCATACGAGTCCGTTATCTGGGGATGCCGAAAAATGGCACATACCCTGCAAATGTGAAGTGAAATTGAAGATCATCTCAGAGGATAAGACGGGATAACTGGAGATTCCATTTCTTGGTGAATATTCTTCAAACGTAACGTCGGTGGGTACAGTGGGTAACTTGTATCTTAGGATACCTAGCATTAGTAATCGGTCCCCCTCGGAAGAGAATAGCTCTAAATCGCCCCTACGGGACGCTCTAACGATCCTAAACTTCGTTCCGTTTCATGTGTGGCTTCGAACATGAAATTTCAGCCACTGCCATATTACATACATTTATTCACTTATGGCTTATTTAACATAGCTGCCAATAGTTTAGATCGGCCCACGTAGCGTGGAGTGGTAGGACGATTAGTCAGTAATTATTTGTATAGGAAGACGTAACCTACGTGTATTTTAAGGGTTTGTCTCGGTATTTGTGTGGTGAACTGAGGAAAATTATGAAAATGTCAGGATAACCGATGTACTTGCCCAGATTTGAATCTGGTACCTCCCGAATACGAAGCAGGAAGTATAAGCCACTCGATGGTGACATTGTGTCAGCATCTAAGTGAAATATTGTTGCAGTATTCATAGATGTTGTGAGTAATATACTGACCGCAACTCCCAGGTGTGGACAGGACAAAAGTCAGACATGTCTATGCGACGATGGTTAAGCTTCAAGGCGGAGATGCTCACATCAGCTTCTCCATACTTCATCATACGAACCAGTCCCTCGGGTTTACCATCCTCCACTACGTACCCGAATGTATTCGTGTGGAGTATTGTTTTCCTGAAAAGAAAAGACGCTATATCCTGGAGAACAGAGTTAATAATTGCGTTGAAGATTTCAGTCTTCTGGGTTGTTGCGCTGTGTAGTATGGTAGATGTTTAACAACGTTTCGGAGGTCATACTGCCTCCGTCATCAGGGCGATTAATATGAAGCGCTACAACCCAGAAGACAGAAATCTTCATACTTACCGCTGTTAAAACCTCAAATGTTACATAATAATTGCGTTCTTTGCTACTTGTAACGATGTTTATAGTTTTTGAAATAGACCTAAGAGAGAGTAACAGGAGACTGAAGAAAGTTACATAGCGGGCTTTGTGATTTGTGCCCTTCGACAAATATCGGTGTGGTAAGTCAGGGAGGGTTAAATGGGCGGGGTATATAGCGTACATGAAGGACATGGGAATTGCATACAAAATAAATAAATTAGTGGAAAATACAATTTGAGAGACCAAAACATGGAGGGAATTATAATATAAATATGGAGTTTGAGAAGAATGGGTGTGAGGTCGGCGGGAGTCCGAATGTAGACCCTGTCCCCGTTCAGATGTAATGTATCTCCGGGTTCCATTGATGGCGGGGACTTTTTGGCGACCTTTTCAAGAAGGATCATTCTTCACGGACTCAGTGATTTTTTTATTACAGTTACCAATTTTTTATTGACCCCGATGCATTATATATAAAATAAACGAGCGGAGGAAATTTCATAACGAAGAGTTTAATGATTTTTACTCTTCTGCCCTATCTACAGAATATTTTAATATTCAATATTCTAATATGTTCAATTAGAGAAATTAGATTGTCAGAGTATGTGTGTGGGGAATAGAAGTAAATACAGAGGTTTGTTCGTAAAACTGAAGACCACGGGCACAGACGCAATACACATTAGAGCTATCGATATGATAACATTATTGCAACAGTTACAAATAAGTTTGAAACAGGGGAGGACAAGCAAATTCTTCGGTTCGGCGACAGTGTAGAAAAGGATTCGTAGAAGCCTTCAAAACATACACAAATTAATGACGCGACTTTACTCTGAACCAGATGAATCCACTTCTCAATTTCACACACTGATTCCATTTTCTGTCGTGTATTATGACCATATCTTTGTAGGAGTTTACATTAATCTGGAATGTGCTTATGTTAATGCTTTGTAACGACTTCTTAAAGTGACAGGAACTGAAATGCCTTTTTATTTACTTTTTTCTTCTGTTATTTATTGTTCCGTGAACTTCTCAATGGATGTAAGGTATAAGAGTGTGAACTGGATTCATCTGGCTCAGGATAGGGACTGGTGGCTGCGCTTGTCTCCATGATAACGAACTTTCGACTGTAAAAAAGCGCCCAAGTATATGGTCGTGTGGTTAGCACTCGTGCTTTGGGTTCAGATCTCGGCCTGGAAACTTGCTGTCGTGACTGAGGAGGATTTTGTGGTTTTCTTCGGTCTCTCCCATCGAGTGCAAGGATAGCACTTGGAATTGGGTCTCGACCGTTTTCTTATAGATCTTTTACAATTCGTTGTTCATTAAACAATATACCATTGTACACTCTGTAATTAATGGTACTAACAGCGTCTATAAATAGACCATACAAATAAGTTACATAAAATGCGAGGAATTTTCTAACTATCTGACCGACCGTTCCAGGATTTAAAAGGCGAGACAGAGGCATTACGGGAGACCTCTGTGGGGGTAACCATCATCCAGAGTAGGAAGGAGTGCTAACCACTGACTA